AGCTTACTCATTGCTTACAAACACGAGTTATATGATGAAATCGAATAGATTTATTTATTTAATTATTTCAAATGGAAGGCGTTTTGATAGTTATCATTAGCAGTTTAGTTGACTTCGGGTTTCACAGGGAGGAGGAACATCAAAGTAACAAAAAGTCGGGAGAGGGGACAGAATAATGATTCACAGATGTGAAAGAGACAGACAGACACAAAGGCAAAGAAAAGGTAAGATGAGTACTGTGAAAGTGGTCGAGCATGACATACAGTGGGGTCATGGTAGTTTGAAGTGAGAAGTCAACTGCCAGTTAATAGACTTTTTGCCGTATGAGTATACGTTGCCCAGGGTGCACAACGCAGAGGTAAGTCTATCGCACACCTCATAAAAGTTAATAGATGATTGGAGGAATGATAATGGTTAGCCTAGCATATCTGGCGGTGGTGGGGTGGGGGATGGGTGAGGGCGGGGTGGGATGCGATAGCCAGTCATGATCCTATCAACTTCGACGTATCAACCACAGTTGTTTGTTTTTACTCAACAAGTCGTCTGGGTTGGATAGTCTTGCACATTACCCCCTTTCGCCCAAATTCCCTTGAGATGGACATTTTTGTCTTTACAGGTGACAATGACAGTCGAATTCTGTAGACAAAGGAGAGTGATCAAATTAATGATCCCTTTTGTATACTGGCTATTTCGGCCTAGCCACGATTTGGAATATGCCTTCCTTTTGATCTTGGTTAATAAAAAAGAAGCTCTGGGGTAAGAGAGATAAAGGAGACTTTACAGAGGCTCTAGGCGTCATAGGCTAAAATAATTGTTTCACCTTGGAAGATTACAGCATCTGATAATTTTACGTTCACTTGAATATTTTTACAAATCATTAATAATAAAAAACAAAGTGCTTGTGTATAGAGTGATTTTGAATGACAATAGACATCTTTAGCAGTCTTATTGCATGCAGGATTTGATGTCAGAAAACGACTCCCTGGAAAAGTCCCTTGAAATGATGTCTACGCCTCAAATTGAAATTCGTGATGATTCTTCCTCATTGAATGCCTCAAACAGCATGACGACCACTACTCGAAGTGGAAGTATCTTCTCCTCCCTCAAGATTTCAAAAAGTCTACTTAACCCTGGAGCATTTTCACGAATTTCTCGAATGAATTCAATCGGCAATGATTCACAAATTAGCCCACTGTTATCAGTTACAATTACAAATCCAGTTCCTTTACCCGCCGCTCAACAATCAACATTAACACAGAAGCACTTGGTGGATTCAACACCCATCTCTGATGAGAAGCCCCTCTCGATGTTGACAGATCCCATGGAAATAAACTTAAGAGATATTTTGATCAACCTCCAACATTTTATAATTCAACCCTATATCACTCTACTAAATGCACAACCGAATGTAAGAAATTGTTGTTACTTAAATGTTATCAATAAAATTGTTATGTAAACCATTTTTAATTCAGGAAAGACAGATGCATCGGGCCTTAAGGGATCTTTGCCGTCTTATTCGGCCAGATATCACTTCTTCGTCACATTCTTCTAGCTCTGGAGGAAGCACTGAAGTCAATCCAAAGGTAGAAATCTACCGAATGTGTGGATTTAATGTGAGGAAATTTAAATTAACCTATCACAGCCTTTATTCTTCCTTATTTTAATATCATATTTTTTTGTAATTTATCTTAGAATCCACATAAACCGGATGATGATTTCAAAATCCCACCTAAAATGCTGAGCGTAATTTGCCTTTCCTCTTTGGTAAACCATCGAGGAGATTTAATTCATAGAATTTTGGAGACTCAGAGCACACCTGGCAATTATCGTTCGAGTTCTTCTGCAGTTATCACTTGGCTAGAGGCAGACAAAGTTGGAGGTCGTCCAAATTTCCCTCTAATGCCTGCTCTGAGAGCCGTCGCTCTAGTTTTGTGCCAAGTTCTTGATATTAATGGTAAGTGATTGTTTATCGCTGTTATAAATAATTTAATTAAAAGTAACGACCTCCTTAAATCATTAATCAGTTTTAGTCGATGGGGCTTTAGGTAGAACCCGTATTTATATCACCCAGAAACCAATTTGAGATACTGTGGTCTTAGATTTTGCACAGCAGTTACTGACAATCTTGATATCTGTCTTTACGTTCTCTCCTGAACAAGGAACATTCACCAGCTTTGAACTCATTGTCAAACGTGTGAATATTATTATAATGATAGGTCACACATGCCAGTCGCCCTTTACGTCAAATTTGAAAAAGAATTATGACACATGCGTGAGTAGAAGATGGCGTATACCTAATCATTCATTGTTAAATTACGCCAACTAATCGTGATGACTTTTTTCTTAAGAAAAATCCAGTGTCGAAGATGAACAACTTAATACTCTACTGTTTCAAAGTTCACCGAAAGCCGATTCTGTCTTCTTGGAATTGTTCCTTCACTGTTTTGATGCCTTCTATGATATTTGGTTCGCAGTCAACGCGGAGCCTTGTGATTTGGATAGGGTAGGTTCAATTTGCAAATTAAAATACTTCCTAAACTTGATTGAGTTAATTCTTATGTTATCGGGGTTTTCCGTGCGTCTGCTCAGGGTGGTTGAATTGAAAGTTCCATTTCACCAAATAGCCCCCCCCCCGCCCTCCCCCACCGTTTGTGAGCTCTCATTCGGATGGACGGACTTTCAGAAAACCCCGGGTACTAAATTTGTTAGCAAGGAGACGAATTTAATGCCAATGACCATGTGAAAATGGATTATTAACCTTCAGCTTACGGTATCCTAAGTACAAACTTAATAGGTTAGTCAATAGGACTACTTATTGCAGTTTTATAAAGAGGGCTTCTGAATAACAGGTTTTTTCGAAGATTTATTTATTTGATATTTAAAATTAGCCCTTTAGTTAACTTCAGGCTTCACAGAGGGGAAGGAACGTCGAAGGGGAAAATGTCGAGAGGGGGGGGGGGAACAGAAGAGTGTTTCAAAGACGAGGGTAGAAAGGTTGGAAAAAAGGTGAGGTGAGTACTGTGGAAGTAGTCGAATATGACATACAATGGGGTGTTGGTCGTTTGAAGTCAGAAGTCAACTGCCGGCTAATAGACTTTTTTGCCGTTTGAGTATGCGTTGCCCTGTGTGCACTACGTGGAGGTAAGTCTTTCGCACATCCCGTTTTTTCAAAGATAATGATTCACAACTTAACGGAAACACTCATTTCGATCCTGTTTATACTCCGGTGATCACAACTATTCTTTACATACACACCGTTCTGGTGTTGAGTAAAGAGTAAACTGATCTATTTACCAGATTAGGTATGGGTGTTCTTTAATTGTGCACAAAACAGCCTACAAGAATTGAAATTCTCGCTCCACGTCAGTGAGGAACGAAATTTGAAATGTAAAGCAGACACATAATTTATTAAAATCATTAACCGACAGGAAATCTTATCAACGTTCACTTGAGAGAGGGAGAGAGGGAGAAAAGAGAAATGCTATTGGATCACAATTTTTTTGATAAATAGAGCTCTAATCTGTGAAATGGCAGCCATAGATTGAGGTATATTTTTAAACTTTACTCCTGTACACTTTACCTCAGTCACTAATGGCGAACATGGCTTTAGTGACCTATTGAAATAAGGCAAAGGACTTTCGGCATAAGTAGAACCTTCCCCACTTATCAAATTATCACGTACGGATTTATAAATTTTAAAATTGGTTGGCTGTTTAATAAATCGATAAATGTAGCAATATATGAGTCCATTCTCATACACAAGTGGGAATATCGATAATTGATAATCCAGTGAGATGAGGCCCACGAGTTTCGTGTTAAATTATTATCCATTAATTTCATCAGCAGTGGCTTCAGTGATGCTCTTATATAAAGGAGTACGTGTAAAGAAATATAAAAAACAAGTGTTCCAATGCTTGAGGGGTGCACACTTTCTATGCCACAGAAATGATTCTATTCAAGTTCCTAACAAAAGGTTGGAAGCTATTCTATTATATGCCCTAAAATGCAAAAATAGCTTTCGTTCTAAAGACTGCTATTAAGCAGTAAGAGTACAATACCGTTCACAAAAAATGGTTATATTGAACCAGAGAGGGTATGGGGAGGCTCGCTGTTTAATAAAAGTCGATAATTTGCTGCAAGATCATTTGTTTCTATTTTCTGACAAGAATTCACCATAAAAGTGAGAACGCGTTCATGTGTGGCTTCGATGAGCCAACTGTAGCTCTTTAAAACAAGCTTATCTCACCGACTTTTTGGATTGGTTAGTTTAACCTGTGCGCTTATAAGATGCAACTGCATTGCTGTCTCTGTCAAAGCCACTACAGTTAGTAACTTTAAGCACACGATCCTAAGTCCTAGATCTTCTCTTGATTTCTGCTCCTCGCATCGCAATTTCATGTTTCTCGTTCCTCGTTTTTATTTATTAGGTCTCAAGGGCACTGAGCACCAGCTTGAGTAACGCGATTTCCATTTGTCCCAACACATTTGACGAGTTTGCCCGAATATTAGTGAACTTCACCCTGGATTCAATTCAAAAATCCTGGAAGATGCGAGATGAGGAAAGAGAGAAGAATCATTTGGCTGTCCAGTAAGTATTGTCCCAGTAAACTGCTTAATACGAGAATGACTAGAGTACCAATATTCGGTTGTTTTGTTTTAGAGAATTACATCGAGATCTAGTGAAACGGCATACTGAGACTGTCACCAAGCAACGTCTCTACACAATGAGTCATGGACAACCACTGATTTACACGAAATTCACTAAAAAAGGTGCGGTTTCTGAAAACATTCATTTTGTTGCCTTCAAATAAAAAAGTGAAATGTTTGTAATTGAACCTTAGATGTTTACCCGTTCTTTATTATTTAAATGACTACTAAAGTTTAATCATGATTATTGTAAACTTTTAGAAGTTCAACGACTCTACGTTTCTCTCTCGGCTGACCAAAATCTCCTACTTGTTCGTGATCCTCAAAATCGTGTTGTCGATATTTGTAAGCTTGGTCATGTTTAAATATTTAATATTTTATTATAAAATGTTCATTTTTTGTTCTAGGGCCATTGTCATCAATTCTCTCGGTATCATCTCATGTTGAAAACAAGAAAAATAAGAACCGTGAATGGGTAAATTATAAAGATACCTTTTGAGCAGGTATCTAAATTCAGTTTTTTTCGCTTGCGTAATATTTTAACTGTAAAAATATCCACTTTAAGGCTAATTCAAGTTAGCTTTTATGATTAGTTTAAATATTAGTATTTATTTTAGTCTTACAATGTGCATTTAAAAAATCAAAAAATACACTTGTTCAATCAGAAAAAAGAATATTTTGCAGAAATAAAAAAATCTTTTAATTAAATATTTAAATGATTCCTTATATTCCAACCATAAATTTTAACTTCTTGATTATTTTTTTTTTCATTTATTTTTAAAAATTATTTCAATTCTTTGTATTTGAGAGAACGCGACATTAGAATTCACAAATTGATTTAAAATAATTGAGGCCTCTTGCTACTCGCCAAATTGTAGAATTTATGGTTCGTGCCTATTGAAAGGAGCTAAATTGCTGAATAAAATTTCTTTCCTTCTCTAGTTTGTGGATTTAATGATCGACACGGAACAAGCTACAGACCAAGATGCTGACAGTCTTACTCGAGCATCATCCGCCAAACAACAGATCAAACACAATCAAATTGTCCTCAGTGCTCCTAGTGAGTACATTCAAACATCTTGGATCGATGGTTTCAGCTGTCTACGGAAAGAGAAGGTCAGTTTAGATAGGCGTATTATCAAACCATTTCGAGTTTTCTAAGTAGACATTCTCGTGATGATTTTTCAGTTTACCAGTGCCTCATTTGCTGATGACGTAAATTTAATATCAAATCTTGAACTTCGGATCCGCCTATTTGGCTTGAATTTGGAAAGTGTTCCTTCAAAGGCAATTGAGCGACCGCCTTCCTATCCTGATCTCACTGGAATTTCATTTTGAACTACTAGTTTTGCTTCCTCTTTCACCTTCCAAAAATATTTATTTGTCTATGGTGAATCACCGAGCAGATTGCTTGATTTCTTAACTTTGTAAGAATGTGACAAGTATATTTATGTGTAGAAAAAGTATTGAATAGCATGTAACTATCAATTTTGTGACATTTTTCAGCTAAATATAATTTCATTACATTTAGTCAACTTGCCATTTTGATAAAGTCGAGACGGGGTAGAGTTGTGTTGTTGTTTGTATCAAATGGCAGGCGTCTTGATGGTTTTCATTAGCCCTTTAGTTGACTTCAGGCTTCACAGAGGGGAAGGAACATCAAATTGAAAAAA